GGGTGCGAGGCCACCACGGGGGCACCTCTCCTCTGGGACAGGGACAAGGGCCAGGGCTGACCGTCTGCAGGAAGCAGCGTCCCCCTCCAGGGGGCTCTGCCCAGGCCAGTGGCCTGGGCCTGGGCCTGGGCTTCTGGTCCCGGTACCTGGGAGGGGCTCAGTTTCAGCATGTCCCCGATGAGGACGGCTGCCTGCTCGCTGCCACCTCAGTTACCTGCCGGGCTCGCCCTACCTCCCCGTACAGCACTGTTCGCTTCCGGCGACGCCGGCCCTCCTTTTGTTCCCGGGCGTCCCCACCTGCCTTCCCTCGCGGGGTTCTGCCGTCCCTGACCCAGGCGCCGGTGGCTCCTGCCCTGCCTCCAGACGCCCGAGCGCCCCCAGCGCCTCGCGCTGCCTGGCCTGCCGCCGCTCTCCGGCTCGCCACCCGGTCTCCTCAGCATCGCCTCGCGCAGCTCCAGCCTCCGCAGGCCCTGGACCCCCATCCTCCTGTTTGCTGTTCCCAAAACCCGCACAGCAGCCCCGGCGTTGAAGGAAGCATTTCCGCAGCTGCTTTGTCTCCACTTAATTTAGGCACAGTGTCATTAGCTTGTGTCTGGTCACTCCCTGGGCATGGAAGGGTGCCACCCTCCAGCCCCCCAGGTAAGACCTCAGCCGGGTGGACAGTCCTTACTTCCTCATGGGACACACACGGGGACCAGGGATGGCAACCCAGCACAAGCGCCTCCTCTTGTAACTACTCTCCTCTCTTGAAATTGGTGATCTCTTAGCTCCGGGAAAATACCCCGCGCGGCCTGAAAGCGCCTCCAGAGACTGCAGACGAGCCCCAGCGAGGACCTAGGGCGGGCGCGTGGCTTTCGCAGCCACGTGACAGGCTCTGCCGGGCTCCCGGGCTCCTGACGGGACCGCAGGGGCTCCGCCCAGGAGACTGCGCCTTGTCCGGCCGGGCTTGGCTGTTCCCTGGGCGTGAGCGACAGCTGGGGACAGAGGAGCCGGCCCAGGTGGGCTGGATGGGTCCCCCCCACCCCCGCTCGGCTCTGCCAGCTGCGTTTCTAATTTTGAAGGGCAGGCCCAAGGAGGGCCACGGTTCCTGCCCGCAGGCCACTATCCCCTCGGCGTGGGGTGAGCCGAGTCCCCAACAGGGCCCTTCCTGGACATCCTTGAAGCAGGGGCTCCCGGGAGGGGCCTGCGGAGAGGGACTCGCAGAGCCACGCAGACACGGGGCGCCTCCTGAGGCTCTAGGCCGGAAGCCGCGCGATGCTGAGGCTCAGCCAGCAGGTTCGGAAAGTGCAGATTGGGCCACCCTCATGCGACCGGCTTCACAGTGACCAGCCCAGAGCTGTGAGCAGGCAACAGTCAAGGTCAAACACTCCGTTTACAAGGGAACACTGCCACGGCCCAACAAAGAACACTCAGACCTCATCTGTTGAAAACTGTCCTGTAAGGGACAGGAGGGACGGCTGAGGAGCTGGGGTCCCTCGCCCCCGCCGCGCGCCTGCCTGGGGCCCCCTGCGAGGGGCTCGGAGGGTGCTGGGGACCCCCCCGCCCCAGGCTGGCCGGGGAGGTGGGACAGCCCAGGGCGAGCGAGCAGCCGTCTGCCTCCCCAGCCACCAGCCACGGCGGCCGTGCAGCCACACAGCGAGGAGGGGCCGGCGGGCAGGGGCCTGAGAACAAAAGGGAAGTGTCTGCACCCGCCCTGAGCCTGAAAGCCGACGCCGCCGCGGAGGCCTGCTCCTCGGCCTTCCCTTCGCTGTGAAATGCTGCTTTTGGCAGAGCGCTACTTTTATGATTAGGCTGCATTTGCCACTCACCTCTTAGGTTACTTTAGATGCATGTTATACAAAGAAGCTGGGTTTTTTGTTTTTTGTTGTTTTTTTTTTTTTATGAATAACTATGAAGTGTTCGGCAGTGTTAACAGAGAAGAGATTTAAATGATATTTTCATTATGAAGAAATATTAAATAAAGATTTATTTCAAGAATAAGAGCTTCATTGAATAACTATTTCTTGGAGAAAAATGAATTCAAAATAAACAAAACTGACCTTTGAAAGAGGTTTCCGGGGAAGGACTTGACCCCCCCGAAAAGCCTGCCTGTGCCACGAGGCAGCCGCTCCATCGCGGGGCGGCTGGGAAACGCGATCCTGGTGCCGCTTCTAACAGACCAGGTTATGGAAAACAAAAATCAAAACCCAAAACACAGAAAGAAATTTTTTTTTTTAAAAGAAATGCCCTACTACCAAAACCACCTCCTGGGGGGACTCCATCTCGCCCCTCGGCTCGCCGCGGTGACACCTCCTCAGCGGCCGCTCCCGCTCCCAGGAGCTGGTCCTCCAGGGGACCCCGCCCGCCCGGCCCCAGGGACAGCAGCTGAGACGGTCGGTGCTCCTGGGCTTCTGCTCGGCGGGGCAGCCGAGGGGCCTGTGCGACGTCCCCGGGTGAGCGGCTTGTTACACGCTAACTCTGGAAACTCTCTAAGAGGAGGAGGTGAGCCCCATGAAACCCCAGTGTCGGATGCATCCTCACCAACAGCAGCTTCAGATGGTCCCCCTTCGCCCGCAGCATGGCGGCACCTTCAAAACGGAACCCGGGGTTCCCCGGGTGCTCGCCTCACAGAGGACCCTACGGGGGACCTGCGAGGGAGAGGTGGCCGGGCATGCGCTCGGGAGGCGCCCAGGTGGCAGATGGCTGCGGGCCGGCGGGGGAGGCCTGGTCCCGAGCCTTCCTGGCCAGGATGAGGAAAAAGCAACACGCAAAAGCTCGCTCGCCACGCTCAGGCATTACAGCGCGCACACTCTGCCGAAGACCCTCGTCACAGAAACGTGTGCCGCGCCTCAGAGGGACCCGTCCCCCACGTCTGCACGGAAGGCTCGCTTCTTTGTGCGAACCCACGGCTTCCAGGCCCGGAGGCTGTCCGAGGATGTGCTGGTGGGCCCTGCCCGGCCCCCCCAACCCCCCGCGTCGCTGGCTCCTAGACACACAGCAGGACAGCGAGCCCCCCACTGCTGGACACAAAGGGGGCGCACAGCTGGACCAGGGCTGTTAACTCCACGTTGGCCACCGCATTCCAGCCGCGCCCCACCTCCCCACAAAACCCATAAAATCCCCGCACCTGGGCCCTGCCCGGGAAAGACGGAGCCGACGGAGCGCTGGCTGCACGTGCCGCGGCGTGGGAAACCCTGGGCCGCAGCCATTCGCTGCGGCAGGCGGGTGCCAGACGCTGCCCCCTCCCCAAAGTAGGCTGGAGGGGACCGCAACCCACTCAGAAGTCCCCACCAGCAAGGCTTGGCCAACAGGGGATGGGCTTCTGGGGAGAGTGGGTGGCCGACCATGGCCACGACCTGCTGGCCTGGTGCAGGCCCAGAGCCGGGGACACGGCGTGAGAGGGGCCGGTGCCAACGCTCCTCAGGAGCTGAGGACAAGACTTCAGATGTGACAGGCTCCCTGTCTGCTCCACCCTCTTAGATTACACAGGACGTCAGCCCTGGTTTTGTGATTTTTCTGTTCTGAACGTTTCAAGACCTTAAATGTTTGCTTCCTTCTTCAACAGACTTGACAGAAGGAGAGCTGGCTGGACAGTTTTCCACGCTCCTGCTGGCAGCGCAGGAAGTGACACAGTGGTGACAGCGGAGAGGAGTGGGCACGGCTCCCAGGTTCCCGAAGGCGTCTCCGGGGCCCTCGGACGCACAGCCCAACCCCGCCCGGTCCCTGGCACATAGGAGGGGCACCCAGTACTGCCACCCACGCCCTCAGCCAGCCAGGATGCAAGGCCTGGGCACCAGGTGCTGGGGCGCAGAGGTCAGTGGGGTCAGTGGGGCGGGCGCTGGGGGTGGGCGCGGAGGTGGGCGGGGCGGCAGCCGAGCAGCTGCAGGGGACCCAGCCCCCGGGGGCGCCCCCTGCGGCCAACAGCGGGCTGTGGACACGCGTGGAGTGCCACCCAGCCCCTGCCCCAAGCCAGAGACCCCACTTTCAGCATCTCTGCAGCAGCCCCCGCTGAAAGAGACCTTCTGGGACAGTCCTGGATGACACCAGGGGCCGACAGACACGCCTGTCACGGTGTCGCAGCTTCCGTTCAGTTGTGCAAAACCGGCCGGGCCCCTCCACCCGCGGTTACTCAGGCTCCGGCGCGGGCTCCATGTCTCCGGAGTTTCCCTCCTGCCACCCCCAAAACTCTGCTCCGTTTGCAAGTTTGTCTTTGCTGAAAATCAGAGCAACAATTAGAATACTAGTAAACTGACTTAATACTAGTAAATTCCACTTTCAAGTTCAAGATTGCTTTAAACTTACCTCGCCTAACGTTTCTGGGTGACTTCTTTAAGTACGTGTACGCATGCATTCATATCTATATCCGTATATAAAAGCTCACTTATAGCAAAACAGCTATAAAAATCACTATGCAAATAAGCCTCCAGTGCGCGTCTACAATTGTTTCAGCTGCATAAAGAAGAACCCAAACAAAACCTTAGAAAGCAACGCCTGGGAACGTGTTCTCAGGTCATGGCAGACGTCACGTGCCTCCGCCACCCCCCAGCGAGGCGACAGTTCCCAACTCCTCCCGGGGCACAGAGCGTCTCGCTTTGGGGCGTCCGAGCAGCTCGGCTGGAGCCTCGTCTGAGAGGCAGTGCTGCTTCTACCTGGGCAGGGGTGGGGCGGGGGCGGGGGCCGGCGTCAGGTGCAGGGCGGGGGCCCGCCGTCCGCGTGCAGGCCTGCGCTGGGGGCGCGCAGAACGACTGCTGTCCGGCTGTGACCCACGTAACCCTTCCGCCAGCGAGGGCCCGCGTCGGTCCCCCTGCGCCGTTCGCACCGCCTTTGCCAAGGCTGAGGCGGCTGTGTGCCAAAACCAACACAGCCGTTCGGCACCGTGCGGGTGGCTCACTCTCGTCCCCTCGGTGGGGCCGTGTGCCGTCTGTTTAGGTGACGGGAAAACACCCGGCCGGTTCAGTCAGTAAAGCGCGGTGACGCGAAACAGGGTCCCAGAGGGGGTGCCGGGCAGCGGTGTCACTGACCTTGCAGGAAGACGGGGTGGTGCAGGGCCGGCACGGGGAGGTCCGGGAGGGCCGCGGGCTGCTCGAAGTAGGCGCCCAGCCAGGCCGCGCACTGCGTCAGGGGCTCCGCCGGTCCTGTCGGGCTGCCGGGCGGCTCAGCGGCGGGGGCCTCCGTGGGGCTGCGGAAGTGACGACAGACAGGAGCTTGATCAGTGAGCTGCAGGCCACAGCCCGCAGGCCTGGAAGCAACCAGAAAGCGCGCGCGCGTGGGGGCGCGTGGGGGCCTGGGGTCGGCAGGTGGCAGCGGGCGCGGGGCGGGCAGAGGCTGGCACGAGACACGCCCGGGAGTGTTCCACCCGCACGTCCCCCTCGGCTTTAAAAGACGTGGCACGCTGCCCCACTGGGGCAGCTCGGCTGGGCAGAGAGCTGTCCCTACAGCCGGCGGTCAGGGCGCCCAGCTCGGCTGTGGGTTCGTCCCCGCTCTCACTTCCTGCCTCTCTAAGACCAATTAGTATTTCCTCAGGTGAGGGTGTTTTTAATAAAGAAACATGACATCTTTGATGACGACAAGGGGTGATTCCTCAGAAGGGGCGCCAGGTCCGCGCGCTCCTGCCTGGGGCCCTGAACACCTGCTGCCCAGCCAGCAGCCGCCGTGGCAGAGCTGGCTGGCAAGGCGGCATGGCCGCCCCCCGCAGGACGGGCAGGGGCGTGTTTGCATCCACTGGCATCTGTCAAGTCTCTGAGAGCGCGTTACCAAAGCCTCTTTCCGGAAACCCCGTGTTAAAGCGACCCTGGCACTGCCTCCTGCGTCCCCCGCCCCGGAGCAGCATGCCCGGGTGCCCCCTCGCTTCACGCCCGTCCAGGTTCCCCCAGGCCCCTCTCGTTCTGCTACTCCCCGGGCTGGGCAGCGTCCAGTTCGGGTGTGGGTTCTCCCGGAGGTTGGTGACTTTGGCTGCAGTACTGGGACTTTCATGCAGGTTTTCTATTTGCTCGTTTTCCCAGTCTTAGTGTTCATTATGGTTGCTAGTCTCCCTTCTACCTCCTGAAGTTTAAGCCAGGGTGTTTTAGACGCACTGGGGATGGTTTTGTTTTGTCCAGCAGGGCGGTGACTCTTCTGCCCGTGGGCCTTGCAGCCACTCCTCGTGGAGCCGGCCCCTCGGCGGGGGCTGACTCCCTGCACGTGCGCGCCGCTGGCCGAGGAACCAGGTCTGCCCTCCCCTGGTGGCCCCCCTCCGCTGCCTTGCTGGGCCCTGGACACCTGGTGCGCGTCCCTGGACTCTGCAGTGCTGGGGGCAGAGTTTCTCCCGTCCCCTCCGGATACCGCAGCCCCCGAGGCTTCTCGGGGGAGGGGGAGAAGCCACCAGAACGCAGGCACGAGCAGCTCCCCCTGAAGCGTCACACCGCCCTTCCCGGTGTCCCGAGGCCAGGCGGGCGGCGCCGACCTACAGGCTGCCTCTCACCGTGCCCTGCCTGCCCTCGCCGAGCGGCCCTCGCCGAGCGGCCACCGTCGCCGGCCCGAGTGGCCCGGCCCGGGGAGGTGAACAGAGCCAATGCTCCGGTGTCACCGCCGCCAGCCTGTGGGGCACTCACCACCTGAGGTGGCGAGAGAGGGACAGGGGCCTCCACGGCCCGGCACCGCCTGCAGAACCAAGTGGCCAGGGGCCGGGCTAGGAAGGCCCAGAAGGCGCACCTCCCAGGCCGCGGTCGGCCTGGCCTCCAGGGCCTGCGGGGTCTACGGTCCCGTCACACACACACACACAGTCAGGGTTCCTCGGGGGAGGGGCGGGCAGGACGGGAGACAGGCACCTCCGTCCGAGAGGCAGGGGCTGCTGTGCCTCCCGGCCCCCTCCTCTGCTTCGAGTCACGTCTCCTTACTCAGACGTCCCCCGTGACCCGGGGGACGGACGCGCAGGCACCCCAGGGCACTGCCCAGGCTGTGGCTGCGTCCTCTGCTGCTCAGGGAATGAAATGTGAGCTGTGTTTCCTAGCATTTCCCACCCTTAAAAGGATATTTGAAGAATTTTTATAGTAGTAAAATTCATCTTAAATTGATTTTTTATGCTTGTGCTAAAGATCTCAACCTCTGATTTACTCTGTGGTTCTCCTTTTTAACTCTTTCTCTTTGGCGTTAGATGACTATTCATGGGTGAAATGTAATTAAAGCGCTTTGATTCTGAAGCCAGGATTTATGATACTACATTTAAAATGAATGGCATTAAACACACACATAAAAGCAGATTTTTAAAGCCATGACACAAATTTCCATTTCTACAATAAAACGGAATTTATTCTCTGCCCTGCCCTCTCCTCCAACCTTGCCCGGCTCGTCCCCGAGCGCCCGGCGTGACTGTGTCCGGGCGTCGCTGCCGGCCCCTCTCATCGCAGAGGCCCTCGGTTCGGCTCCCTCCCCGACAGCGTGGAAGCCCGGCCGTCACTGGCTCCGTGGCCCACACCCCTTTACGTCCCGTGTCCAACAAACTCGCCTGCCACGGCGTGCGAACGCCGCGGCTGGCTCGACTGTGTCCAGGGAAGTGCCCAGCGACCGGGGCACAGGGCACCACCACGCACGCAGCCCGAGCGCCGGCGATGCATATGGAGCTGCGTAGCAACTCCGTCCGCGGGACTGCACAGGGAGGGGGACACGGAGCCAGCGCCTGTCCCTGAGGCCCACGTTGGGATGCGGGCCCTCTGCCATTTCCTAGCTAGTGGCAGGAGGAGGAGCCGGCTCGGCCGAGCCTTTTGCCTCATGATGGCAGCGTGCAGGGTGCCTCTGCAGAGTGATGTGGGGCCGCGTGTGCGCGGCTTGGTTTGAGGGCTTCTTCGGGAAACTGCAGGGACTCCGCGAGGAGAAGCAGGAGCGCAGCGCACTGCCTGCAGTGGCCGCTTCTGGAGCGTCCGTGTGTCGGAAAGCCCATGGGAAGCTCCCTCGGAGCCGCGACCCGAGAGGCAGCCCTGGCCCGGCCTGGCCCGTCCCGTCCCGGGCTGGCAGGAGGAATGAGCCGGCGAAGCCCGCGGAGCAGACGCGCCTTCTTGGGCTGTGGGCCGCGGCGGGGTGGGAGGCCCCACGACGGAGGGGAGAACGCCCAGCCTCACGGCTCGCGTGTCTCCGCTGAAGCGTCGAACTGCCCCAGAGGTCAGCTAACCTCACACAGGTCACGTGGGTCCTCTGGGTCACCGCCGCTGGGGAACACACGGTTACGTCCAACCTGCCAGACCTCCAGCATCTCCCTGTCTGTCTCTCAGGGCGTGTCCTGCGCCTAATTACATCATTTTGCTGAAGCGCTGACATTTTTCTTCTTGTGGTAGAACTGACGGCAAGAAATAAAGTACGCAACCTGCTAACAGTAAGGAACTTTTTGTTTTTTAATGAAGAGTCTGAATAAAGCCGTTAAACCCTGCATTCCAGCCAGGTTTTGGGGTTGGACCCTGTTCGAACGTTTATGGGGGACCCATGCCGCGTATGGCGTCCTGTGGGCAATGGGTGCGGGGTGTGCCGTCCAAGCCGGGGGCAGGGCAGGCGGCGGCGGCACAGAGGGGTTGGCAGCCCTCCCGAGTCTCACCGGCGCCCCCGCAGCCCCCCCCCCCCGCCACGACGGGGGACCTCACAGGCCATCTGAGGGGCGGATGACGCAGCCACAGCTCTGCGGCTGCAGTCGCTGGGACGCTGTTGCCATGAAGGTGCGATTGGGTCTGCACCACGACTCGAACGTTCTAGAGTCACCGGAGGACAGAGCAGCGGAGGGACCGCCCGGTGTGCCCATGCCCAAATTCAGTCGCAGTGTCCCCGAAGAGCGCGCGGAGCCCTGGGCGCAGGGAGCCGGCCTGGGGACGGCCCATCAGGGTGGGGCCGGGCGGAGCACAGGGTGCGGTGGGGGGTGGGGGGGCGTGTGTGCTGTGCCCGTCCTCCGCGGCCATTCTAACTCACAGGGGGGCTCGCCGTCCCCTCCCCACCCCCAAGCGCGGGACGCACTGCACGGTGGGAAAGGGGAGAAATGAGTACACGTGCGAGACAGCAGCTGCGGAGTCGCGTCTGCACACGACGCCAGTGCCACACAGGCGCGGCTGCTGCGTGGGCCCGGGCTGTTTTCTAAGAGGCGTCTGCAGGAGGGGAGGAGACCGCCTGACGGAGCGGGGGTCGGGGGGTGGGGGGAGTAAGGCGGGACCCTGTCCCTCTGCCGCAGCGAGTGCAGAGGCCGCCCGCGGGGAGGCGGTTCGAGTCCCGGCCGCGAGCAAGGCCGCCCCGGCCCCACGACGTGGCGGCTCCCGGCCTCACCATCCTGGCCCTGGACGACCCCTCGTCCTGGTCCTCTCAGCGGCCCCGTCGCTTCCACATCGAGGCCGATGGCAAAGGGCGGAGGAGGCAGCTCCAGGTTTATCTGGGCCCCCATTACTCACCTTCTGGGTGGTTGCAGGTAGGCTGCTTAAATCAGATCTCAGTTTTTAATGGACACCCTCACTGAGCCCTTCATATTTGGGGCCGCAAATTGATGTCAGAACCTCACTAGACCACAGGGAAATTTACTGCTGTATGTAAAACACTTCCCAAAAGCACAGAGAAGTTTTTCTGTAAAATTTCAACTCCTCCCCATACAAGGCACGTGTCATAAGAATGGTATATTTTCCTATTTAAAAATAATTGATTCCTAAAAATACATCAGCAATAATAAAACATTTTTAAAAGACAATTTAAACGGTATACTTGGCAGACTAGAGTGCCTTAAAAAAGCCTACTTTCTTTCTCCCTAAATGTTCAAATTATTAAAAGGAAAACTGTATTTTATCAACACTTTAACATATCATTAAAAATCTCTACTATTTGACAGATGAAGATAAAAACACCCCAAAACTATAGATGAATTATCAAGTCCCTGATGATTGCAAAACAATTACAGGATGCAGAGCAATCTAGTTAAATTTTATTCAAAAGCTTACTACACTTGTGTTTTCTTTTATTTTTCTATCAAGAAACCCATGAGGCTTAAGCACAATTCATTATGTATGAGACCCCGCTTGCGATGCTTGACTGTTGATTAATAGCAAAGTTTGCTGTATGTACATTTTCAACATTAGATGCATACAATATGCTAACTTATTCTTTCACTGAAACTAATTATTTACAAAAATGACTACTTGAGACTACAATTTATTAAATGCATGCATCCCGTCTCAATTCGGCCCC